CTCTTAACCTCTTGGATCTAACTGGAATACTTCCTGACGGAGGTCCTATCTGAACTTGAGTCTTGAGTCTGGAGGAGTTGGCAGTGTGTCACAGAGGAGGGGGAAAGGGCTTGTGGCTCTTGCGGGTCACCAGGCACCACTGATGGTTGAGGCTGTTAATCTGAGATTCTTACAAGTTGAGAAGTCACCTTCTTTTGAGCAGTCACTGCTGAGACAGCTTGGGAAATTGTTTTCCTCCCTCTGGTGGCATCCAGTCCCACTATAGTTTGTGGAACTGGGCTAGGAGATACGGGCTTTGAAACTGGAATTATCATTGAGTGCTTACTGTGTGTCAGGTACTGTCCTAACGCTTCGTGAATGTGAATCGTTTAACACCCCATGAGGTAGTACTGTTAAGAGCTCCATTTTGCACACGAGGAGGACACAGGGGCTCAGACAGATTAAGTGACCCAGTAAGTGGTAGGGCCGGGCTGTGAGTCCAGTAGCTGCTGTTGCCTTGCTAGGGCGAGCCCCTTTCCTAGAGGAAGCCTGAGTCTGATTAGCTCTCCTTTCCACACAGCCACAAAATGAAAAGTGGCAACTTACATATGTTATATGTTTACTGGCTTCTGCCTTGTGCTGCTGTATAGAAGTATCTCTGTAATGGAGGATGAACTTGTCTTCAATTATGAGTGTGGAAGGAGAGCTGTGTTAAAGTGTAGCTGACTCTTCAGCAGTGCAGGGATTAGGGGCACTGGAGTCACCCCGCCTAGTGCATTCAGAAATCTGCATATAACTTTTGACTCCCCAAAGACTTAACTAGTAATAGTCTACTGTTGACCGGAAGCCTTAGTGATAACATAAACAGTCAACATGTATTTTGTGTATTATGTGTTTAATATACCATATTCTTACAATAAAGTAAGCTGGAGAAAAGAAAATGTTAACAAAATCATAAGGAAGAGAACATACACATTTACCGTGCTATACTGTATTTATCAAAAAATATTGGCATATAAATAGACCTGTGTGGTACAAACCTGTGTGTTCAAGGGTCAGCTTTACAAATAAATGGTGACTACTGTTGGTCACACACATTTTAATGCCAAAAGGGAAAGCCAAAAGACTAAGTACCAGTTTACCTAGGTAGTATAATGGATTTCGAAAAATTGTAGACTTGAAATTCTGGAAGCTTGTCCCATCATGCACAATCCCTTAACAGTTGGATTTTTTTTAATTCCTTATTTTATAAGTTTAGAAATTTAGGTAGTTTCACTGTAAGAACTCATTTCTGATTTCTTTGATTAGTTGATGTTGAAAGTATTCATTTCTTGGGTGGTAAGTAGTAATGATGTTCCATTGAACAAGTATTTGGTTTGGTTGAACACTCACTGTGTATGAAGTAACTATGGAGAAATGGAATGAATCTCATTGGCTCACAACAGAGATTGATGTTCTCATCATCCTTATTTCACAGATAAGGAGACGGAAGGTCGAAGATACTAAGTTATATTGGCAATTAAGTGGAGAAGCTGGGATTCAAACCCAGGCGGCATGGCTGTAAGGCCTTACCACTCCTCTGTGCTGGGGGTAGACATGGAACTTCTTTTGATGGGGCCATATTTTTCTCATCTTTGTTGAGTGAAGTAGTAATCTGAAGGTGTTATTAGACAGGACCTTCCTCCAAGAAAATTTACAGTCTCATCAAGAAGAGATTATTTATACAATATTGGTAACAAAGTAAGATAGCACACAGAACATAGAAATAAAAGATTATTGGGATTCTCTTTCTCCCCTTCTCTGTGCCCCTTCCCCACTCTCAAAAATAAACTTTTTTTTTTCCAAAAAAAGGAAGATTGTGTCTATGTAAATAGGTCAGGAGAGACTTTATGAGTAAAATTTTGTTTTGTTTTGATATTTAGATATAGGAGGACATTTCTGGCAGAGAAACGCAAGCTGGTAAATCTGAATTGTCCAGAGAGGGTAGGCAGATAGGAGGTGTGTTTAGAGAATGGAGGGGTTTACTTCAGGTGGAGTGTAACACAGGAAGGGCAAGTAGTAGAAGGGCAGGCTGACCAGGAGATTGTGGGTTCTTGTTTCTGACCAGGTTCTAGCTTTCTGGTACATTTCCCCAGCAGTCTCCTGGCGAGCACCCTGTGTGAACAACCACGCCTCTTTATCCTCGCTCATACTGGTTTTCCGGTCTGCGGTGCTCTTTCACACTTTATTCACTTATAGCCTTCCCTGGGTACTCCAGTAAGAATTATTTTCAACTGCTTTGGTGGTCCCCAAAATATGGTATGTGTTTCTGCTTCGTAATTATTTCCTTTTGTCTTCTATAGTTGTATGTTCTCTCCAACTAAAGGGTAGCCTTCTAAAAGGCAAGATCAGGTCTTACTTATCATTATATCCCGTTGTTAGTCCTGAGGGCCCACTTTAATATATGCACATTATCAATATTTGGAATATTTGTGGAATTAATCAAATAATAGTATAGAAAGTTACAGCTATTTTTCTTGGTAAATATTAAATTAGTGCCAAAAGCTTCTAAAGGTAAAAGAAGAGAGATTAATGAGATTATTCTCTTTTTTTCAAGTTTATTTATGTACTTAGCACACACGTGAGCAGGGTAGGGGCAAAGAGAGAGGGAAAGAGAGACTCCCAAGCAGGCCTGGCAGTGTCAGTGTGGAGCCTGATGCGGGGCTCGAACCCATGAACGGTGAGATCATGACCTAAGCTGAAATCAAGAGTCGGACACTTAACTGACTGAGCCACCCAGGCACCACATAGTATTCTTTATAGACGTAATTGTGTTTATGCATATAATGACTTGTCATGAAGATAGAGGACAAAAAATGTATGCTAATGCTACCTTTTGTTTCTTATTTACTGAATGTCATAGTAATGAAATCACAGTCTCACAAAAAAATGTTAATTTTTTAAGATGCTTGAGAATGAAGTAATTTTTTTGTTCATATAGAATATTTTTATTTATTTATTTATAACTTTTAGGTCATGCCATTATTTTTTTTTAAGTTTATTTTTTTGACAGAGAGAGAGAGAGAGAGAGAGCATGAGTGGGGGAGGAGCAGAGAGAGGGAGACACAGAATCCAAAGCAGGCTCCAGGCTCTGAGCTGTCAGCACAGAGCCCAACGCGGGGCTTGAACTTATGGACCGCGAGATCATGACCCGAGCTGAATTCGGACACTCAACCGACTGAGCCACCCAGGCGCCCCTGTTCATTTAGAATATTTTTAAATGCCTATAGAAATACATTTGTACATGTTCTTTTGTGTCCCAATTATTTATTATAGACGCATATTTTAATTGCAGTATAATTGAGTTATTAAAGACAAGTCAGGGGCGCCTGGGTGGCGCAGTCGGTTAAGCGTCCGACTTCAGCCAGGTCACGATCTCGCGGTCCGTGAGTTCGAGCCCCGCGTCGGGCTCTGGGCTGACAGCTCAGAGCCTGGAGCCTGTTTCGGATTCTGTGTCTCCCTCTCTCTCTGCCCCTCCCCCGTTCATGCTCTGTCTCTCTCTGTCCCAAAAATAAATAAATGTTGAAAAAAAAAAAAAAAGACAAGTCAGATGCTGACTTTGCCACATACTGACTGGGTGTTCAGAGGCAAATTATTTAAACTTATATCAGTTTCCCTATCTATGAAACAGAATGAGAATATCTTGAACCATAATCCTGAGAACTCAATGAAATCATGTAAATAAAAGACTTACTATGGTGCCTGGTATACACTATTGCTAAAAAATTATAATTATTTTTATTATTTTGCTTTACTTAGTGTTTAATATGAGCTTGGTAGAGGTTATCTTAATTTCATGTCTCTGCATTGATCATCTTAATCCTAAACTTCTCTTTTCAGTTTTAATAAAAGGAAGACAATACGTCTAAATATATTAATGATTTTGTTCTGTTAAACAAGCTTTTGGAGCTTATTTGAATATATGCGAGTTCTGTCAATATTATGATCACTAAATAGCTAATGAATATGAATGGGCTGTTAAAAAATGAAAATAGAAAATACCAAACAAAAATGAAAAAAATGTTTATATTAATAATTGTAAATTAAAGTTGTAAGATAAAACAGACACAGAATAGTTTTGTATCTGCTACATTTATTTTTTAAATACAGTTACCTCGGTTAGAGTTATAGGGACATAAGTACACACTTGTTATTGTTGGCAATGTGAATAGATACAATTCATTTGAAGGACAGTTCAGAAATGCTTAGTAGGAGCCATACTGGTATTTACATTGTTTGACCTAGTAGTTCAACTCCTGGAAATATGTCCTAAGAAAATAAGCTAGGAGACAAAAAGTGTGTTTATAGTAATGTTAACTATAATATTAAAAGCAAACAGGAAACAACCTAAGATAAAGATAAATGATAGTATATTACACTAAGAGCTTCTTATGTAGCTGTTAAAAATGCATACTGTAGCAGTATTGGAGAATGCATATGAAATAATACTGAATGAAGAAAGAGAACAAAATTGTGCATTTGTCATTGCTATGACTATGTAAAAATGTGCATGACAAAAGATAATCTTTGCAAAGGAATGTGAGTGAATTGTGTTAAATGATCGTGAGTAGGTTTTTTTCCCCTTTTGAAAAATTGCACATAGTCAACTACTGAAATATTTGTGGAATTAAAAGAATAATGGTATAGAAATCATATTTCTTTTCCTTGGTCAGTATTATATTAGTGCCAAAAACTACTATAAGAATGAGGAGATTAATTTGCATATTCTTTGTAGGTACGTTGTATTGTGAAGTTGTTTGAGTGTCAGCTTTTAAAAGATTGTTACATTTATCATAAAGTAGAAAAAAATCTTGAGGATATCTTCATACTTCTGGCAGCTTAGAGCAAGGTGTTTACCATTCAAATTACTATGACATGGCATATACATAAGGATACAGGAGACACAAATATACAGGGCCTTGAAAGAGAAGCCAAGCCTCAAAGGGTAGGACTCTTTTTAATGTGACTTCTCTTTATTTTAGAACTGATAGATGTCACATGCACCCTGCTGCTTCTAAACCCAGACTTCACCACTGCATGGAACGTAAGGTATGTCTTCTCACCAGTGATCAAATGAACTTGTCCAAATTTCTGAAGACCTCTAAGCCCCATGAGTTGTTAGCTTTTTGAAAAATGAAATATAAACCATGTATCTATTGCATTTTATGCTTATGTCTTCTACCTGTTCTTTATATTACCTCCATGGACAGTTCTGACTTAAACTTGGCTCCTCCTTGTATGTTTTTGTCTTTGCTCCATAAACTTTCCTGTCTGAAATATAAATTATCATGTTGAATTATAGTATGCCATTGGATACATGCTTTTATTTTCCTTCCTTTTTAGAAGAGTAGATGCAACCAGTGTAATTGGTTGGTTTGTAAGGCATTGGTTATGTATTTGTGAAGTACAGTGGCAAGTATGTAGGATGAGGATTCAAGGCCATGACCTTTTAGTCTCCGTTTAGTTACTAATATTGTGACCTCTATGGGCAGATCACTTCAAGTCTCTGGCACTTGGGATTTGGGGAAGGGATCACATACATTGATTAGTATCTTAGTTCTTTCATCTGGTTATTTTAGCTTTAAAAATTTTTTTTTTCAACGTTTATTTATTTTTGGGACAGAGAGAGACCGAGCATGAATGGGGAAGGGGCAGAGAGAGAGGGAGACACAGAATCGGAAACAGGCTCCAGGCTCCAAGCCATCAGCCCAGAGCCTGACGCGGGGCTCGAACTCACGGACCGCGAGATCGTGACCTGGCTGAAGTCGGACGCTTAACCGACTGCGCCACCCAGGCGCCCCTGGTTATTTTAGCTTTAAACACAAAATACTTTATGGAAATATCGAAGTGCAGACCAGGTTCCTGTTTTTGTTTTTTTTTTTTTCACTGAAATTTTTTCAGTTATATAATATGTATGGTTTTTAAAAAATGGTGGTCTCTTTGACTAATACAAATTCTCTTAGAGGAAAGCAGAATACAAGTTAAAGATAAAAGTGAAGTCCTGTTGTACATTGTGAATACATTTAAAATTTTCCCATAGGAGAGACCATAGATTGTAGCTCTTTATCTTTAAAGATGACTTAAACAATTTATTTAATCTTCTGGGTAAGCAGGGTTACATTCTGAGTTAGTGTTCTATAATACCTAGTTTTGTATGTGTCACTGATTTTTTAAAATTTAGGTAACTTCTATTATATGTCTTTTTAAATTGTTGAATAATTAGTATTCAGATATTTAGAGTAAGGAGTAAGAAAAGTATAGAATGAGATACAGGCTTTAAAATTTACATAATCATGGGGCGCCTGGGTGGCGCAGTCGGTTAAGCGTCCGACTTCAGCCAGGTCACGATCTCGCAGTCCGTGAGTTCGAGCCCCGCGTCAGGCTCTGGGCTGATGGCTCAGAGCCTGGAGCCTGTTTCCCATTCTGTGTCTCCCTCTCTCTCTGCCCCTCCCCCGTTCATGCTCTGTCTCTCTCTATCCCAAAAATAAATAAACGTTGAAAAAAATAAAATAAAATAAAAATAAAATTTACATAATCTTAGAATTCTGATTTTCTTTTCTAGAAAGCACCACAATGGTTTGTTCATGAGTGGCTACTATATTATAGGGACATACTATAACTTTACTCGTTACCTCATTTAATCCACACAATAGTCGACAACATTTGTTCATTTATCAAGTATTTATTGATCGCTGTATGCTAAGTTCTCAGCACTGGGACTAGAACCACGAACAAAATAAACAAAACCCTGTCCTTGTGGAATTTTTATTCTAATAGGGGAAGAAAGGAAATAAAGACATTTGCTAAATAAAATATACATTAGATCAAATGGTGGTTAAATCCTGCAGTGAAACTGGGACGGGAAAGCGGGGAAGGCCGGGAGGAGGATGGGAATACTAGTATTGCAGTTTTACGTAGGGGGCAGCAAAGACTGCCGTGAAGATGGGGATCAATCTGTGAGTTCTGGGGTACGGGCATTCCAAGAAGAGGGAACAGCAGCAAGTGGGAAAGCTGGCGGTGGTGCCCAAAGTGCTCCTTGGTGCACTGAGACAGCAAGGCAGCCCGCGCGGCTGGCACAGCGGGAATGAGGGAGAGAGTAATAGGCCGGAGTGTAAGGGAGCCGATCTCACAGGGCTTTTGTAGATCTTCCTAAGCTGTGGTAGGAACTTGGACTCTTACTCAGGGGGAGATAGAAAGTCCTGGAAGCTGAAGAGGGACAGTATTTCACTTTAGAAACTCTAGCTCCTGTGGAAAGTAGACTATAGGAGTGCAGGGGGGTGGTTGGGAACTTAGGCAGTGGTTGCGGTAAAAGATGAGATGCGGTTAGGTGAGAGATGCTGTGATTGGAGGTAGAATTTAGAAATGGAAAAGGTGAGATTCTCACTGTATTTTATTGGACCGTATAAGCTTTGTATTTAATAAACCAATTTTAAAGACCCAGATGATGAATTCGATGCGGGAAAGAGAAAGAAGAAGGTCACGCTTGTGTCTGGTTTTTGGCTTGAGGAATGGAAAGGATGGAGTTGCCCTTTACTGAAATGGGGCTGCCTGGAGGAGGAGCGGATCCAGGTGGGGGTGGTGGGTGGAAGTGAGGAGTTCAGCGTGGGACACATTAGATTTGTGTCCTTGTACTTGTGTATGAATCTGAAGTTCAGGCAGGAGTTCGAAGCCAGATGTAAATATGGGAGTCGCTAGAAAATGGGTGGTGGTATTTAAGGCCCTGAGACTGTTTGAGGCACCCAAAGGAGTGGGTGTGGATAGAGGAAAGAACCGGCGTAGAAAGCACCGGGACACTACAGGTTTCTAGTGTTGCACAATCCAGTATAGTGGCCACAAGCCACGTGTGGCCCTTGAAAGGCGACTCATCTCAGTTGACATGTGCTGTAAGTGTAAACTACGTATCAGATTCCAAAGACTCAGTACCCCCAAAGGTAAAATACCTTGTTAGTAATTTTTAGATTGAATTACATGTTGAAATTATATTTGGGGCATATTGAGTTAAATAAAATACATTGCTTTGTACTTGTTTGTAAGGTAGCTGTTATAAAAGCTGAAATTACATACAGGGCTCACATTGGTGACTCACATATTTCTGTTGGGCACTGCTGTCTTAGACTGCGTGATGAGGAATCTGTAAGGGAGACTTTTAGGAAGGAGCTATAAACTCACAACTGAGAGCTTTCTTATGGGTAGGAACCACGTCTTCCCCCCCCCCCCCCTTTCTTTCCCTACCATCGACTACTCTAGTGCCTGGCACATAATCAGCCTGGCACTGAAAATAATTAAATTGAGTGAAAAAGAAATGAAGGTAATAGAGAAGTGGGAGTACCGTTTTCCCTCGTGCTCTCAGTTCATCATTATCACAGAGGACTTGAAAATCCTTCAACCAGAAAAGATTGTTACTAGCACAGTGTACAAACATACACACGTACATAGACATGTACACACACACATATATAATTTATTGTATATTTTATAGGGAAGTTCAGTTCAGGAGAAAGAACCTGGTCTTAACATACATGGATCTTGGTCCTTTTTCATTAATTAACTAGCAGTTGACTTTAGAGGCAAACACTGTTAACTTCACAACAGTTTTAATTTCTATATCTGTGAAATAAAAGATTTGAGCTAGGTAATTTTTTTATGATTCTTTTCAAACTGTTTTCGATTTTTGCATGGTCTGGTTTTTGGGAAATTCGCTCCATAAATGTGACTTCAATGATATTCACAGCAATCACTTTTGAAAGTTATTCTAGTAAGATGATCAGTGAAGTTTTGTGCTAAAGGAATAAAAAGGAAACCTTGATTCTTTAAAAAAAGTCCATTTGTGGGTGTGTGTTCTAGTAAGTCTTAATTCGTATCAGTAAGGCTGACATGAAGACATAGGATCATGAGTACATTTTATGCAAAAACAACCAGCTTTGGAAAGTAAATTGATCTAACCTTGTAAGGTCTCTTGCAGATCAAATACTTAACACTCTGTTTAATTGTTGGTGTATTTCTTGTGCAGTAACTCTGGGAAGCATTGAGTGATTTTGACTGTATGTTAGAAACCGCTAAAACATGGTATTAATACATCAGCATTTCATTTTATAGGTATTGTGGCCTCAGGGGAAAAAATAGACGCAAGAATAAGTTTTTGAGCTGATTTCCTGTGATTACAGTGAGTGATGGATATAGTTTAAAAATCCAGCCAGTTGCAGATAAAAAATGAATGGTACTTTTTTTGCCTTGAAATTCAGCAAAGTACTTCATGAAGGAGCTTGACTTCATAACAGTGTCCTATTTTTTCCATCATTCCGTGAACCTACATAGAGTAATAAGCAGAACATCTTTGAGCAAAGATAAATAACAAAATAGCTGACACCAAGTTCCCGTGATTGTGTCCTTTACTCATAGCCTATTGAGTTAACCTGGGGACTTTATTTTATGCAGATTAGATGTTTGCTTCCAATCTGAGTTCCAAGACCTTGAGTCTAAGTTACCGATTCTCCCCTAGCTTCAGTTGTCTCTTCTGTAAAATTGAGATGATAGTAGGTTGTGCCGTATGGAATTGTTTTTATAAATCAAAAACGATTAAACCTAAGCATCCAGATCCTGGTTTCTAACACCCTTCTCTAATAAAAGGAAATAGGCTTCTTGAAGAAATGTCTCATTCTAAGAGCAGGGCAGGTAATATATAAGATGAGTGTGGAATATCTCAAAGAGCCAGAAAGTAAGGAAGTGCTCAAAGAGGAAAATGATGGGAATATGTCAGGGGTTTCTATAGCCAAAGCTTGAACTCCTGAGCAATAACATACCACTGGATTGTACCCTGAAGTGTAAAATGGGTGTTCATAGTGACTCAGTGACATAAATAATTGACTAAGCAAGCAAAAAGTAGACAGATCTCCCGTATAGAAGGATTCCAAGTAATTTATCCAGGCGGTCCCCTCAGGGAGCTGGAGTACAACTCCCCTACTCCTTAAGTGGAATTCTTTCCAAAAAGCACAGTGGAGAAACCTGACATGTGCCATCTTACCGAGGTCATCAAGGTCAGCATCAGCTGGGACAAGTCATGATATTTTGTGCCCTGGGAAATGATGCAATAAAGGTGGTACTTTGTGGTCTCTTCCTCCTCAAAACCCTGGTCTAACTGTAAGAAAAGTTTCATATAAAATACCTCATTAGGACTCATAAAGACTGTCAAGGTTTATCTGAGGAGCCTAAGGAGACATAACCAAACGTAATGTGATGTTCTGGTCAGGGTGCTGGACTAGATAAAGGACATTTGGTAAAAATGAAGGAATTCTGAATAAAGTATGGACTTCCAATAGTAATTTACTGATGGTGGTTCATCAGTTATGACAAAGGTACTATAATATATTAATAAAGGAAACTGGGTACAGGGTATACAAGAATACTCTGTACTATCCTTAGAACTTTTCTGTAAATTTAAAACAATTGTAAGATTGAAAGTTTATTTAAGACTTTTTTTTCTAAGTGATCTCTACACCCAACATGGGGCTTGAACTTACAACCATGAAATCAAGAGTCACATGCTTTACCCAGCCAGGTATCCCAAAAGTTTATCTAAAAAAAGAAATAAAATTAAGAAATAAATTCTTAAAAAAAAGAAACTGCCTGGGTGGCTCAGTTGGTTAAGCGTCCAACTCTTGATTTTGGCTCAGGTCATGATCTCGCAGTTTGTGAGTTCGAGCCCCACATCAGGCTCTGTGCTAACAGCGCTGAGCCTGCTTGGGATTTTCTCTCTCTCTCTCTCTCTCTCTCTCTCAAAATAAATAAATAAAGTTAAAAAATGTTTTTTAAAAAAATAAGACAAACCCCCCAAAAAACCCCAAAACAATTGAGTATCGGCAATTTCATATGGTTCTACATAACATAGGATTGTTTTGAGGATTAAATTAGATAATATATGTAAGTCACTTAACACAGTGCCTGATTCAGGGAAAGTGTACAGTAAATGGTAGTTTTTATGAGGATTTTTATTATCATCATTATGGTTATTTCAGACAGAATAAAGATATACAGTAAAAAAAAGATGGCATTTGTTTATTCACTCATTACTGTGTGCCATGCACTGAGCTAACCAGTGAAGACTTAGCCATGGACAAGATACACGGCCCCTGGTTTCCTACAAATTAAATCAAGTGACAGCAGAGAGAAACCATAACTAATAACTTGAGATGGAGAGAAGACAGAAAAACTTAAATGAGATAAACTTTGTAGAAATATAAAAGCCCTCGCTTAATTTCATCCCAGTAAGGTTGTGCGTGTAGCACAGCACTGTTCCCATCACCCCCTGCTCTTAATAAAACCACACAGGTGGCCTTTTCCTTTCCAAGGTACTTCTCCCCACATTTATTTGACCTTTGTTTTCTTCCTTCGTCCTCTGTTAGCAGTGTATCACCTAAGGCTTTTAGGATGAATCTCAAAGCCCAGCTTATTCAATATGCCTGAAAATAAAGCCACCTCAAATTTAAGGCAGTACTCCATTTCCTCAATAAGAAAAGTCTAAAAAAAACTTTTTAGGCTAATATCCATATGTAATCTTAAACTATGTGCATGAGATAAGCAAATGTCATACTCTGATAATTTTTAAATTTAGTCACATACCTTTAAAATAGCATGTTATATAAAGTATTTTAACTTATTCATCATATTCTTACATTTCATCAAACAATTTAATTCAAATGTTTTATGTGGTTTATGGACATCAGTGACTTTGTCATCATGAGAGTTATTTTTTCAACTTACTCAGCAGTTTTCCAGAGCACATCAAGTTTACATGTATCTAGCTTGTTTGAGATATAGCACTTTATGAATCCATGTGTGACTAAAATTTTTCTCAAGATAGATTCCTACTTGAATGCATTCGAGCAGTCGATTTTCTTTTATGATTATGTCTTGGTTCTGTGATAGCTATACCTTAATCAATTACTGTATTTCTTTTTCAAGTGATCTTTAAAATTTTATGACAGTATTTAATGCCTACAGTGTTCAGTCCTGTCCCCAGGAATGTTTATTAAATTGTTATTTAAATTTTGCTTGCTTTCTTATGATTCTATTTGGTGATATTTTATTTTTTTTAATGTTTATTTTTGAGAGAGCGAGAGAGAGAGAGAGTGTGAGCGGGAGAGGGGCAGAGAGAGAGGGAGACACGGAATCTGAAGCAGGCTCCAGGCTCTGAGCTGTCAGCACAGAGCACAATGCCCGGCTCAAACTCACAAACCATGAGATTATGAGCCCAAATCAGACGGTTAACCGACTGAGCCACCCATACACACCTATCTGGTGATCTTTTAAAGCATCCATATATAATATTGATTGAGGTTATTTCAGGCTGATATAGCTTACCATATATGTTGTTCAAAATAAATTAAGGGAGCACCCCTAGTTTTACAAACTTTGTAAAGATTCAGATATAAAGTGACTGCTCTTTTCTGAAGAAAATTTTGATTATTTCCTCACAGACATATATGACAGTCTATGTAGGCAGTTGTAAATAAAGTGAGGTTTAAAATTTAGTCAATGGAAACGAGGCTGCCTACAGTAAATTCTATACCATAGAGTTTGATGCATCACCTAGAAGGCTTGTCTAAACACAGTGCTTTGTCACTGGCTTTTGAATCAGTGGGTCTGCGATGAGATCTGAGAATCTGCATTTCTCATAAGTTTCAGATGATGGTGATGCTGTAGTTAAGGACCTTACATTGAGAAACACTGTGTTACAAAGAAGTTAAAATTATATAGGAAAATATTTTGCCTCCTTTTATACTATAGGTATGCTGACTTACTGTATGAACGAAACATTACTGATTTCAGAAGAAAGAGGACATAGGACTGCAAAAGTAATTTGCTGTTGCATTAGTCTTTCAGTGACTAATACAGGAGTATTCTGTACTAATACAGAAGTACATAGACTTCCTGTCCAATGAAAGCAAAATAGCAAATCCATTTTTTAAAGCATCCATAAACCTCAGTGTCAATTCAAATTATATTCTGAAATGCCTGACCTAAATGGTTATAAAATATAAATATTTGTTATCACTGTTCAGTATTTTCATTAAAAGGGAAATTGTTTCTCTTATCAAACAAAAATGTAGAAAGAGCACATCGCTGTTGGAAAGAAAATGTATTGTGGTAATTAGGAACTAAATTTATCTAAATAGGTGAGGTATATGATCTGGGTTCTGGTCTTTATGGGATTAAATTTCTCTAAAATAAATGAATTACCAACCCTACCACAGGAAGGACTTTTTAAGATTAGTAAATTCTAGTCAGTGACCTAATTGTATTGTAATAGATTCATTGCAAATTAATTGGGAATATAATCAGGACTATCAGAACCTGAGAAGTAGGTTGAGAGCTCCTGCATGACAGTCTTACAACTGCACAGAAGCTCTTCTGTTGGTATTTCAGAGAGCAACGGTCACGGTATCAGGGGCCGTGCAGGTATTTCACCCAGTAATAACATCTTCTGGGAACTTATCCCAAAAGTAATGGTAGAAACAAAAGAAGTCTTAAACATAACGTTCTGTTTCAGAAATATTTCAGAATAGCAAAAACTTGGAAGCAACCCAAATGTCTAACCAAAGAAGAAAAGGTCATTAAATGATAGCATAGCCAATCAGTGGAAACTATTTGACTGTTTTAAATGTTCACTTTAGAACTGTGGGGTAAGGTAACTCTTAAGCTGTAAAACATAATATAAAATTATATGTTAATTAAGTATATATACATATGGGGAAAGACATAAGGGAAAATTGAAAAATAAAAATAGTAATTTTGTTAGGGTAATGTTGAATGAATGATTTTTTTCCCTTACATCTTAATCATACTGTGTGTACAATTAACTCCAAGTAGAGCAATTCTTGACTCGTATTGGATCTGCCCTACAGATACTGATGTCAGGCCTTGTGAGTTCTGGAAATGAGACAAGCCAGAGAAGCTCTTTGCCCTCTCCAGCTTGGTAATTCAAGTTCCACTACTGATTTAAGAGCTTCTGTTTCAATTTATTAATCCTGCTAACTTTGAGATAATGAGAATATATTCTCGATTACTTTGTGTGATATTTATGAGAGTTTCATGTTTTGTTTTTTTTTCTTTTTCTTGGAAATTCACTTCATAGTGAGGTTCCATTAATAGCCATGCAGTATGTTTAGATGGAAAGATAAGAGTAACGATTCTTTTCACTTTTCTTTTACAGAAAAGAGCTGATCCTCTCTGGCACTTTAAATCCAATTAAGGACTTACATCTGGGAAAACTGGCCTTAACTAAATTTCCAAAGAGTCCAGAAACATGGATTCACAGGTGTGGTAACTTTACACTATAGGATTCTTACTTAGGATTCAGAATGGCTGGACAAAAAACACAGTGTCAGTCAGGGTCACATATTGGTTCAGAGTATGAATTCTTAAGCCAAGTTACCTACTTTTAAATCTATATGCCATCACCTGCTCTCTGTGTGATCTTCAGAAATTCAAGCCTCAGTTTTCTCATTCGTAAAACGGGAATAATAATTACACCTATTTCAGAGTTAATGGTTGGCTTTATATGAGCTAATGTATGTTAACACTGCCACAGTGCCTGGCACATATTAAATACTCAGTAGATTTTAGCGGTTATTATTAACTCTCTGAGCAGTCATAATAGAGATGGCATTTACATATTCAACTATAATGAGCAACTCAGGTTTTAGAATCCATTCAGGTGTGTTTCTGGTACAGATTGCCGTAGTGATGGTTATGGTTATTAAAACTAACAAAATAAGGGCAGCTGAGGTGAATGGTGTATAGGCCACGCTGAAGTTGCTAAGATGATAATCGCAAAGGATATTTTTAGGTTAAAGGCCCGAGGCAGCCAAAATGCACGTAAAAACCCATCTCAACATCCTGGCTCTCTGAAGCATCTTGCTCTTGGGACTCCACAAAACGACTCCATTTTGACTAAAATGGGATGGTGTGGGCTTGCCGGCTGGGGTCAGTGGGGAAATTCTTTATAAAGAAGTCCATTCTCGGGGCGCCTGGGTGGCGCAGCCGGTTAAGCGTCCGACTTCAGCCAGGTCACGATCTCACGGTCCGTGAGTTTGAGCCCCTCGTCGGGCTCTGGGCTGATGGCTCGGAGCCTGGAGCCTGTTTCCGATTCTGTGTCTCCCTCTCTCTCTGCCCCTCCCCCGTTCATGCTCTATCTCTCTCTGTCCCAAAAATAAATAAAAAACGTTGGAAAAAAAAAAATTTTTAAGAAGTCCATTCTCAGTTTACTAAGCCACTTAGAACTTTTCTTAAGTCCTGAGCATTTTTAGGATCTTAGTTCAAGGTATCTTAGCTGTGATCTTGCCTTTGGCTAGCATTGCAAATCAGCTGCTTCCACTGTGGAGTCCATGGTATTTTCTTAGTAGGAATTGGGATGACACTTCAGAGAGGCATATGAGCGTGTGTATAGAGGTTTGGAAAGGGGTGATGGCAGGGGAAGTGCATTATTGTACCAATTTATAGGTTTATCTAATATTTTATAAAACAGGTTTTTGTTGTTAAGTAAAAAGCTTCTGTTTGAAAATGACAAAATGAATTTTTATACTCAATTTCTAGTAACCTTTGGGTTGGAAAATTTCATCTATAAGAATGCTTCTTATTGAGAAAATATTTGTAAAAACTAAAGACATTAGGTGGTTAGACATGCTTTTCTAGTGCTTTTCATTTAAATGTATGCTAATGAAAATCTTAAATAGACAAGGGGAAAATCTGTGGATAAAGACATTTTAAAATCTCCTTGATGGTTTAACTAATTATGTTGTATTTGTGTCTTTCCACATTTTCTGCTATAATAAAGAAATTCTGCTTAATGAAAGCAGTCATAATGCAGTTTCTTATTTGCAAACAAAAACACATAGGGTGAGGCATGTACATATAATTAAAGATGTGAACCATGACTCCTCTTCTAGGATTTACCAACCATTAATTAATATCCCTTCCAGGACCACCACCACCACAAGCCGGTACACACACACGCGCGTGCACGCGCACACACACACACACACACACACACACACACACACCCCTTGTCTTTGCATTTCCTGGCCAATTGGACTTTTTTGAGTTGTTATATTGGAACTAGGCAATCTCTTTTTGACACATTTTAATGCTTTAGAAAGGTTTCTCTCTCTGACCTTTCTTCCTCATCCTCTCTATCCATGGTGCTGAAGCTAATTATATCTTTAAAAAATTTTTTACTGTTTTATTTATTTTTGAGACAGAGAGAGAGACAGAGTACGAGCAAGGGAGCGGCAGAGAGAGAGGGAGATGCAGGATCTGAAGCAGGCTCCAGGCTCTGAACTGTCAGCATAGAGCCCAATGTGGGGCTTGAACTCGTGAACCACGAGACCATGATCTGAGCTGAAGTCAAACGCTCAACTGACTGAGCCACCCAGGCACCCCAATATATCTTTAAAAACAAATACAACAAAGTAATCCCACTGCCACAAAATTGGGCTCATAGATAGGCATTGCACGAATGGAAATTAAGATCAAAGAAAACTGGCTGTTTTCCTCTCTGATTTATGTTCTTTCCTCGTTCTCATTCCCACATGTACCTTAACAGGCGATGGGTGCTACAACAGCTAATTCAGGAAACCTCCTTGCCTTCCTTTGTGACAAAAGGAAACTTGGGAACAATTCCTGCAGAAAGGACACAGAGACTAATACGAGAAGAGATGGAGGTCTGTGGTGAAGCGGCAGGGAGATACCCAAGCAACTATAATGCCTGGTCCCATCGCATCTGGGTTCTGCAGCATCTGGCCAAGCTAGACGTCAAGGTAAGGCTGTTCCTCCAGTCTCCCTACGCACATTCCCTGTCTGCCCTTTAAATCTTCTGATAGCAATTCCTCCTCAGAGGAACTTTTAAGGAAGAAAGTAGAGGAACTAATGGCCCAGCAGCCTGGGAAGGATCTAGCAGCTGATACCTCCAGGGAAGCCGTGGCAATTCAAAAAGTTTACATTCCTCACCAGTGCAGTTTTTGGCACTCTTCTGGTTAGTACGTTGGTAGAACTGAGACAAGTTTAAGCAGCAAAGAAGACTGAGCATAATGCATTTTGCCCTGAAACAGGAAGAGATTATTAAGCCTTACAGAATTGGACCGGTTCTTTCTTGGTGGTCTTCCGTTCTGCGACTTGATGTGCTGAACCAGCTGGCTGCCTGTTCACCTTCTCTCCTGGGGAGGGAAAAGAAGATCTCACCTGGTGTTCCCAAACTTGGCTGAGTCTGTCAGTCACTTTAGGATTTCTGAGTCTCACCCCAGGCCTACGAAATTGGGGAAAGGACAGGATTTAAGATCAGTATTTTTCATGGGCTCAGGGAGCTTTCTGGATGCAGAGCCGGGTTGGAAGCTGTCATAGCCTAAACCTTTCAGTTTAGAAATGAGGAGATGGAAGTTTCCAGAGAATTTTAATGACTTAGGCTTGGCCACGGTTATATGACTTATTAGTCATCAGACTGAGACCAGCTATCCTTTTGCCCCTTTTGCTCCATCATACATATGACAGCTGCTATCTTTCTTCACTTCTTATGTTTTAGTGCCATAAGAATCTACAGTCCTCCTCTGAAAGCTTCCCAGGCTTGAGACACCTTAAAGGGGTAAAATACCTCGTGTGGTGCTTTGAGATTAATAGAGAAGCATTCTCTAATTTTGCTCACCACCCCCTTCTACATCTCCCTTCTCAGGTTCCTGCTCCCCTCTCTGTATCCTAACCAGAGATTCCTCCAGGATTTTTTTTAAATTCCAAGGGAATTTTAAACCAACAGTTCTGGAAAAGTAACCCCTCCCTTCCTATATTGGCTTTGTGTTTCGGAGGGGGTGTCCCTTAATGTTATTGGAGTAGAAAGAGCACAAAGACAGATTTCATACTGACCTGGCTTCAGATTATTTTGGCCCTACTAGCCCTGTGTGGAAAGTGAGGCTTTAACGTTTCATCTGTGAAATACCAGCTCGACTGCCTTCCTCAGTGGATTGTGAGAATTACTGGAGTTTGTGCATGTGAAGTACTGGGCACCTAATAAAGGCTCACTGAATTTTAGTTCCGTTCTTTGTTCCCCACGGATAGAAAGTTTAGGTGAAACTGGCTACCAGTTTGCTAGATGAACTCTGTAATTTATTCATGAAAAAGTACTGAAACTCTTTCATTCCCAGACGCTGGCCTATATGCTGGGTGTAGCATGATGACAAAGGGAGTGCTCTCAACAAATTGAAAATCTAGTTGAGGAGACAGATACCAGCAATTACGACATGCACGGGGTGTGATGGGAGCCCAGAAACGGCTTCTCATCCAGGCTGGGCTCGTTGGAAACGGCTAAGGCTGTGGCCCCGTCAGGGGTCTGGTGGGGTGTGGGAGATCTGGGTCCTTATGGAGTCTGGTCATCCCAGCTCTACAGCTTGGTAGAGCGTAGGGGGTGGGGAGGGGCACAGGGAGCATTGAAGATAAAGAAAAAGGCAGAGTCCAGGTGAGCCGAGAGGTCTTTGGAAACTTTCCTACCCTTGATGTGGACCTTTTAAAGTGGCATTCCCATAAAGTCAGGAACACAGGGCCAAGGGGAAATTCTTGGTTTCCTGACACTTTTCAGATGTTAAAGATGAGAACTCATGAGCGGTGTGTTGACTCAGCTGCCTGGGTCCAGTCCGAGGCTCACCTGGGCTGTCCACCTGCTGTGCCCTGCCCTTGACCTCGGTGCTCTTCCTGTCACCACTGCTGCCGCAGTGCTCTCTGGGGGCTGGATTTACAAAATCCCCTTTCTGCACTTAGAAACCACTGGGCCCTGCTAGGAGATCATGCCCTACTACGCTTTGTCTATTAGAGGAAGTAATCACAGAGGTATCTCTGGTACCTGTCAATGAGCTGGCATCTTTTTACATAGACAATTGAAAATACTATTTTTTAAAGTGCTGGTATCCAGCATTGATAAGGGTGTGAAAACAAGCATTGTAGAAACAGGTATGATCTTACTGAAGGGTAACATGGCAGCGTTTACAGACTTTACCCAAAAAGAGGCATGTTCCTTTTGATCTAGCACTTCTGCCTAAAGATGTAACGGGAGACGAAGTTCGGTGGTGTCGTGATCAAAGGCTCCACTCGGTGGTCACGCAGACCTAACTTGAATCCTGACTCTGCCACCAAGTTGGCTTGTGGCCCTGGGGGAGTTTCTTGGCCTCACTAACCTTCAGTTTCCTCATCTGTAAAATGGGCATGAGGGTAATCCCTACCTCATCAAGTGTTGTGAATTAAATGGGAGAATCCACATAAAGTGGCTCTCACAAGGGCTCGTACTAAGTGTTGGGTAAACACTGGCTATTATATAAAATATGAACATTTGGTATATAAAAATACTGTTTATCATAGTGAAAAACTAGAACAGTCTAACCCTCCAATAATGACAGATTAGTTACATTGAATTATATCACAAATTGGAATATTTTGTTGGTACTAAAAGTTGTATTTTGGAAGATAATTTAAAGAAAAATGTTCACTATGGGATAAGGATCTAAACTAAATATGAGATGGCCCTAATATAATTTTTAAATATATTATTAGCATTGAATGAGATTTTGAAGTGTTTGGAATACTGCTTGGCATGTTGTAACTGTCAACCTTTATATATATCCTCACACATGATGTTACAGATATATTGCTTTGTGTTTTCTGTTACAAGCATGTATACATTTGCTGCTCAGAAAAAAAAAAAAAAGAATAAAGAATTGTGAACAGTGCTAGGGTGGAATTATGAGATTTTCATTTTCTATTTTCTATTCTGATTGTGTGTTCTAAGTGGATTTAAGTAGATTTTAAAATAGTCTCATTTGTGACTGTGGGGTGAGAGGAAAGATCACGGTTCGCCAGTTTATTACTCCTAGCCAATTGAAAGTTGATACCTTGTGTCACCTGAGAAGGCACATAGGGTCATCTCTGCAAAAAAGATACACAGATGGCCAATAAAGACATGAAAAGATGTTCAACGTCTTAGCCATGAGGGAAAAGCAAATGAAAACCAACTAGCATGGCTAAAATGAAAAACAGCAGTTACAAGTGTTGGCACGGATGTGGAGAAATTGGAGCCCTTATACGTTGCTGGTAGGAATGTTAAATGGTGCAGCCACTGTGGGAAACAGTTTGGCATTTCTCCAAAAAATTCAACCTAGAATTACCATATATGACCCTGCAGTTCCACTGTTAGGTACATATATATACCCCAAAGAATCAAAAACGTGTTCATACCAAAACTTATTACAGCAACGTTTATAACAGCATTATTCATAGTAGCCCCCAAAAGGTAACAACTCAAATGTTCAATAACCGACGAGTAGATAAATGCAATGTGGTGTATCCATCCATACAATGGAATATTATGCGGCCATAAAAAAAGGAACAAAGTCCTGATACATGCCATAACATGGATGAACCTTAAAAACATTGCTGACTGAAAGAAGCCAGATTAGGAAGGCCACATACCCTATAATCCCATTTATATGACATTCAGAATAGGCAGAGCAGATTAGTGGGTGCTAGAGACTGGGGGGAATGGAGATTTAGGGGACTCCTAATAGGAATGGAAGTTGTTATGAAAGTGATGAAAATGTTCTGAAAATTAGACAGCAGTGATGACTGCACAACTCAATATATACTAAGAACCACCAGTTTATTTTTTAACTTCAGAAATTGGTTCTTAAAGTACATTAGAAAGAATAAATCTTCAAGAATAGCTAAGAAATTGTTGAAAAAAATGAAAATGAGGAACAGTGTATACTAGTATCTATCTAAATGTTTATAAAAAGAGAGTAATCTTAGTACTACTCAGTAATTAACACACTAATGGAAAATACAAGGCCCAGAAGCAAATCCCAATACATAATGTGTACAAAATAATGTGTACAAATTTCATTGAAATATGGAATTTCACATAACTGGAAAAAGGATTCTTTGTTCAATCTGTGATGCTGATTAAGATTGACCTTTTAGCAAATACTTGTAAGGTTTTAATATCATATACCAAACTGAACTCTAAATGGAATAAAAACTTACCTGAAAAAAAAAATGGAATTAAAAAAATCAGTTGCAGTAATATAGTAAGAAAGATATTTTTTAAAAAAAGAAATATATTTATAACATAGGGACCTAATACCTTTATAAAGATCTCTTAAAGACTTGTAAGAAAAATTAAGGACTATCACAAATAGTAAATTAGGCAGTTGTAAAAAAAGAGAATTAGGCAAAATAGGCAGTTTGCATAAGAAGACACAGGAAGAAGAAGAGAATAAAATAAGTATCTAGCCTTAATGGTAAAAGGAAATACAAATTAAAATGACATGATTTTCCACTTATTAAATTAGTGAATATTAAAGTACTAGTAAGGAATTTAAGAAATATTTAACATGTTCTTCCAGTAGGAATATAAATTACACAGCCCCTCTGGAGGGCACTTTGACAATATATATGAAGAACTTTAAAAAATGTTTCTCACTGTTCCAGTAAATATACTTCTAGAAATTTCTCCTAAGTAAATAAGTTGTGCACATAGACTTTATATATATATGTGTTCAAAAAAGTGTTAATTATACAAGAGTGGAAACAAAATGAGCGAATGGTTAAATTGTGATAATCTTTAGGATGAAATATCATGCAAAAGTTTAAAATTATAGAGTAATATTTAATGACATGGGTATATGTATATAATTTAGTGGAATGAAATCAGAATAAAAGAGTATCCCAAGTCCGTGTTAAAGATAAACTGCGCACATGCATGCATAGAGAAAAGCTGAAAGACTGGTGATAGGCCAGAATGTTAAGAGTAGTTTTCTCTGGCCAATAAGGTGATGAATGACTCTTTTTGCTTTTTTTTGTATTCTGTATTTTTGAAATGTTCTAGAATGATCATTTTGTATCACTCATAATCAGAAAATAACCAAATGTATTTTTAAAAATTTATAGGGCAGATAGCTTATATATTATATATATATATATATATATATATTTTTTTTTTTTTTGATTTTAATTTTAGGATTGTTACCTGTTATCCTTCTGGGTCATAGCCCTGCTTCTGTGGTTTTCTTGTAGCTATTTATTTACTCATTCATTTTTATAAGGAGTGCTGAAAAAGAATAGTAATATGTAAATTATACCATCTATAGGTCATTGATTCTGTCAGTACCTTACATTTAAGCCATATCTCTATGCAGTGTCTTTAAGATCTTTTTTTTTTTTTTTTTAACATTCATTTCTGAAAGACAGAGACAGGGTGCGAATGGGAAAGGGGAGAGAGAGAGGGAGACACAGAATTTGAAACAGGCTCTAGGCTCCAAGCTGTCAGCACAGAGCCCGATGCAGGGCTCAAACTCATGGACTGCAAGATCATGACCTGAGCCAAAGTCAGCCGTTTAACCGACTGAGCCACCCAGGCGCCCAAGATCACTTTAAAAGTAACGGCTGTCGCTTTAAAAAGTCATTGCTTATATCTCTCAACCTTTTTATTCTAGTAAAAAAAAAAAATGCCCTGAAATTCCTGTTAAAGTTTCTTTTCTAGTTTAGTATGCCTCTTAAATATATCAAGGGAAAAGAACACAGTGAATTTTTCTCCTAAAAAGTCTGTTAAAAATTTTTTTTTTAATTTTTTTAATGGTTTGGTTTTGAGAGAGAGAGCACACACATGCAAGTGGGGGAGGGGCAGAGAGCGAGGGAGACAAAAAATCTGAAGCAGGCTCCAGGCCATCAGCGCAGAGCCCGACATGAGGCTCGAACCCATGAACCGTGAGATTATGACTTGAGCCGAAGTCAGACGCTTAACTGACTGAGCCACCCAGGCCCCCCAAAAAGTCTGAGAAATATCTTTAAAGGAATTAAATTGATACTGTTGAAAATTTTTCATGTCTGTGCTATTTTTTGTCTCAAAATTACAAAAAAAAATTAAAATTTTTGTATATAGAAATATGCAGTAAGAGGGGCGCCTGGGTGGCTCAGTCGGTTAAGCGTCCGACTTCGGCTCAGGTCATGATCTTACGGTCTGTGAGTTCGAGCCCCGCGTCAGGCTCTGTGCTGACAGCTCAGAGCCTGGAGGCTGTTTCAGATTCTGTGTCTCCCTCTCTCTGACCCTCCCCCGTTCATGCTCTGTCTCTCTCTGTCGCAAAAATAAATAAACGTTAAAAAAAATATATGCAGTAAGAAATAATCTAAAGGTTTTTCACATTATGTAAATTCCTTTTAAACATGTTTTGTACTCTTCAATCAATATTAAGAAGCCCTACCAAAGTTAGAAATCTGATGTATTGTAGCCTAAATGTTCTGCAGGTTAATTCTTCAAAAATGTAACAACCTTAAGGTTAGTATGTATTTTTCTAAGGTAGAAGTTTATCTGGTGCTATTTTGTGCACTATTTTAATCAAATGAACAGTCTTGTTTTCCATTTCTCAGAGATTTACCAGTTCTGGAAACAAACTTATTTGGCTTCATATAAACTCTTTAGAACTTAAAGGAGATGTTTAAAACATTTCACGGATATAAATCTACTGTCCTAGCTGGGAGTAATCTTGCCCCTCTGTACTGGTCACTGAATTCATTAAATTGTTCACTTATAAAATACTTAGACATCCACTCTGAGGCTTTGGGTATAGAATGATGGAAACAGCAATTAGGAGTGACTAAATATTTCAAACAACTTTTATAGAGTTTAGTGAGGATGAAAAGATGTACAGTAAGTTCTGTAATATATATAGGAGAACACACAGAAACTGTGGAGGTTCAGAAGAGGGAGAAATTTCTTCTAGGGAAGAAAGGGCATGTGAGAAATGGAGAGGTGATCTTGTTGCAGGAGGAGGAGTTTACCTGGGGCCCTTGACGAGCAGGTGAAGGAGCAGCCTTTTGGCTTTGTGCGGTAGCTGCCATTCACTGCTGAAAAGTCTGTCTGTCTTCTTTAGCTGATCTGAAAATCCTCTGATGGAATGTGGCACGCCTTCAATATGGCTTTCCCTGATCAAAATCCACTTGCGTTTGCTACTTGTACAAGACAGTGACAAATGATTTATTTTTTCATAACTGCTGGCTTTTCTTTTTATCATTCCATTCGAAATTGCTTAGTTTGCAGGATTGATAATACGCAGGTTTTAACAATTCACTGCTGAATTTTGTTTCATCTGCTTAACAAAATCATTTATCATTGATATGAATTGAGTTTGACATGAACAGTGAAAATTATGAGCTCTTGGAAATTCCTATTTTTCATGCATCATGTTTTTTGCACTAAGCCCTTAGAATTAGGTAGTGAACAAAACTGACATGCTCTGTGCCTTCATGGCACTTACACAGTGAAGAACAAATCACTACCTTGAGTTGATTGTTCAATAAATAATAAGTTAAATATTCTAGTGTTGGTTAAATGTTAAAGTTTACCTCAAAGTAACCTCTGAATTTATATTTTCTCTTCAGCATCAGCATTCTTGTAAATAATCACCCTAATGTTCATCATTATTCTAGAATTTGGCTTTTCTGTGGGTGTGCCAATCAGAATGTGATTGATCAAGGTCCAGGGAAAGAATGACAAGTCTTAAGTTCTGTGGTGTATATAAAAAAATCTCTTATTTATCAGGGAAAAGGGGGAAACTAGCCTTTACCGAGCTTCCACTAAGTGACAGCACTGTGTTGGACATTGTATACAAAGTATTGGTAGAAACAATTGTTACCAGAAAAACAAGGAACAAATCAAAGAAATCCAAGGCGTTAATGGAGAAGAAAAGCCTTTGGCTATTCCACTTCTCACTTCCCTTTTTTCTTCCTACAAGATTCTTCTTGATGAACTGTCTTCTACTAAACACTGGGCATCCATGCACGTTTCAGACCACAGTGGATTTCACTACCGCCAGTTTTTGTTAAAGTCTTTGATTAGCCAAACTGTGATAGATGGTTCTGTATTGGAGCAAAACCCTTTGAGAAGTGAGCCAGCTCTGGTTCTTGCAAAAGATGAAGCAGCAGCAGCTTCAACAGAGGAAGCAAGGATAAATCTTCCCCATCTTCTCGAAGAAGAAGTTGAATTCAGCACTGATCTTATTGATTCCTACCCAGGACATGAAACCCTTTGGTGCCACAGGTAAGAGAAGGGAAAAATCTGCTTTCTGCATGAAACCACATGTCTTCCTGAGAGCTGTAGAAGGTCCTACATCGTAGGCCTGCCTTCTGGAGTAAATATGGTAATCTCACTGTGGAGCTTTGCCTGAGTTCAGAGGAGTTTTCGTTACCACATCCTCATGATCTTCAATAAGAAGTTCCTCATGCAGATCTCTGTCTAATGCTTAGATGGTGGCATTCAACCTTGACTGTGCAACAGCTGTGTTACTTCCAAACTGAAAACAAAAGTTTCTAGACTCCCTCCTTGGAGATCCTGATACTTGTAGCACGTGTGGGGTGGAAGGCTGCCATCTAGTCTTCAAAAACACAATGGAAAGAAACTTAGCAGGTACATTCTGATGCAGAGTCGGGTGTAGACCATTGATCAGACTGTTGATTGGACCTTGAGAATAGTTAAGCTTATTGAAGGTCTGCAAATTAACGTTCCTTAAGTAATAAACTCTTGACACTGGTTGGGGTTTTTTTGTTTTTGTTTTTTGGTTTTTTTAAAGTAAGGTGTACTTTGGGAGCAGGGCAGAATTATTAGGAAGGAGTGAAAGAGGATTAGCAACCTCATAACCTGAGTTCTGAGTACATTTGACAGCCAAGTAACTTTCATGTTGGAAGGAAGTCCAGGTATGGGAACCCCCTGATTGGTTCTTTTTTGAAGCATCTCTGTCTCTATAAATGCGGATTCTGCTTCAGGCTATAGGATTCTATTTGTAGACGAAGGACTTGCTGTGCCAAGCAGGAGATAGGCGTTTTACATATTTGTATGTTTTTAAACTTGTTGAGATTTGCCGCCTTTTGAGGAGACATGTTCAGCTGCTCCTCCATGCTAAGTACATTTAGAAGATGGGAGACCATCTATCCTCTTTGGCACCTTCCTAAATTTCTTTTTCTCGTACTAAAGAGACACTCTTACTCCACGTTTTCTAGAGACAAGATAGATACTAACCTCCATGTCATTGGGGTGTTACAGATTTTTTTGTTGCTATTTTATATTTAGGTACATCAGTAGCAAGGTTGAGAAAATTTTTAAATTATATTTGTGTTGAAGAGATAGCTAGATTAACAGAGTAGAAGCTTTGTATAAAAGTTATTTGAAGTTTGGGGTGGGGCATGGGGAAAAGAGACAGTTGGGATGTTATACAGGCCAGTTTTCTACTACTGAGCCATTGCCCTTAGGCACCTTACCTGTCCTTTGAGTTTTATCCTCTATAAAATGGGTAAATTATATGCTCCCTGTCTACTCCAGAATATGCTGGGGAAATGGACAGAATTAACTTTTCAGAGTTTAGAGTTGCTAATATGAATAATGAGATATCCCTGCTGCAGGGATATTTAATGAGACTATAGTTATAGTGACAGATTTCAGGGAAAGTTAAGTTGGTTTTTAGATAATAAGACCTGTTCTTATTAGAGGAAATACTGGATAGAGTCCATGGACTACGCCTCTAGCGGAGCTATTTAATCCCCTTGTTAATTCACTTCTGTTTTAGGATATCAGTGAAGTTAATTTTTGGTTCTGTTTTTTGTTGTTGTTGCTGTTGTTGCTTTTTTTTTTTATATACCAGAGATTGGGCTACGACCTATTTTCTAATTTCCGATTGTAGTTACAAAGAGTAACAATGCCAGGTGATTGCCATCATCTCAGTCGGTGATATTAAAAATCCTTTGGGGGTCGTATTATTTCTCACAGTCCAGTAATCTGGGCTTGTAAGACTCTGGTCTAAATATGCAGAGACTTCAGGGTAACTACTCCGCCTGCCTCCTTCCTCCAGGTAACTCAGGGTTACCACGGGAGCCATGAACTGAGTACAGTATGTTTTAAAATTATCAGCTTGTTTTTTTTCCTAAAAAGCTTGACTTTGTGATATGAGTTTTCTGTATTCTCTCCCCCTCCTCTTTCACAGGCGGCATATTTTCTACCTTCAGCATCACTTACGTGGTAGGTTTCCTCACAGTGTGACCCCATTGTCACCTGCAGACAGCCCTGGGGGAACTTCGAGTGACTTGCACCTCATCCCAGGAGGCCCCCACATGTCTCAGGCCATGGAGGTGGATGGGCTGAATGACTCTAGCAAGCAAGGCTATTCCCAGGAAACCAAACGCCTGAAGCGGACCCCAGCTCCAGACTCTCGGGGCCTGGAGATGGAGCATAGGTTCATCGATCAAGTATTGTCCACCTGCCGGAACGTAGAGCAGGCCAGGTTTGCCAGTGCCTACCGGAAGTGGCTGGTTACGCTGAGTCCGTGAGAGAGGTGGATTAGTCCTGCAAGGTCACCCTTTCAGTGCAATATTGCTTTCCTTTCTTACATAGTCGCATGAATTGTTTGCTGGTATGTGTTCTTCATCTTTAGGTTAAAAGTCCATAGTAAATCTTTTATTTATTTTGTTAAGAACTGGCATTCCTTTGGGGATAAAATAACTGTGTAGTTTCTTCCTGCTAAACAGTGAGTCTTAATTTTTTTCTTCTTTTCATCCTTTATATTTCTATACATGAAGCTTCTTCTCATTTGGTTCTCCTAATCGGTTAACAGACACATCTACCCACCTCAGTGCAGTCGCTTGCTGTATAGGCTAGTTTTTTTCAATTAAAATTTTAAGTTGTAGTTCAGCCTTAGAATAGTACAAGCTCAAAATTACTCCATCTGATTACTGCTTTGAGAATCAAATGGCCAGATAGATGGGATTTGCAAAAATATAAATCATGTCTCTTTCTCGACTCAAGTTATCGACCAGTGTAACCAAAGTCAGAAGTATTGGAATTTATATAAAAAACATGCTTCCAATGTGTAATCCATTTTAAAGTGGTTATTTTAAAAGAAAAACTAATTTTAAGAGTTTATGTAATTGCAGTACTGGGAATTATTTTTATTACTAGTTTTGATAGATTCTTTTTACCTCAAATTTGGTATGGGCCAAAAACACTCCCATTAGCCCTTATATAAATCTTTTTTTTTTTTAACCTGGAATGCCATTTTCAATTATTACTACTTGTTTTCCTTTTAAATTCACCATGAAAAGTGAAATATGCATGGAAATGTATCCATAAACAATCTTCCTTTGTAAAAATTTAAGTTCTTGAGGATACACTTAAACCACACCATTTTTATGAAGTGGTTATTACAGATTTGCTGGCAAAAGCCAGGGGAAAGAATAGATTTTGAAGGTTAGGTCTTCAATCTTTATTTTAAAAAATAAAACAACTTAAAGACTTTGATACTAAACTTATCAGGGATGAGGTACCAAAGTAGCCACCGAACAGCTGTATCTTATTTCTCAGTAATAAGGGCTGGGTTCTTCAGGTCTGTGGGAAAAGGGCCGGCTAATGTTTACTTTCTGAATACGTTTCCCCCCTTTGTAAATGGTCTGTGTTTGTTCTTTCCCTTCCACTTATCTCTTCTTCATTCTCCCAGTCCCTTCCATATTTTTTGACACTTTCACTTTCGTATGTTTTTCCTTACTTGTCTAATTTTAAGGATGTGTTCTGAAGACATTCTCCGTCCTCTTTCCACCGAATCTCATACCCCATTAAACACACAGACACACACAATATTCACAGGAACTGCCCTTTCAAAGGTCCCCTAATGATGGAAACCGCCTGTTGTCCTGTGTGTGTGTGTAGGATGCCACACTGCAGAAGTAAGTGACCGCCGTGCTTTGCTTGTTTTTTTTACTTGCTAGGTCACCTTTAGGGTGAGGGGACAGATGTAAAGGCAGACTTCTCCTAGTATATATTATGGAAGCCTTGGGCTTGAGCGAGGCACACTGCCTTAAGCTTAGGAAAAGAGCAAGTTCTTTATTTGTGCATCATGATTTTGTTGAGTAGCAAACTGTCAGGGGAGACTTGAGAATACCAGAAAAACTGTCCAGCCTGGCCCTTGTAGACAGAATCTGCTTTTCTCTCTTGGGGCAAAATTTCATAGTATTTAGGTAAGAAAATAATTGCCATTATGAACATAATCCCATGGCCCTTTGTCTACAAATACCTCAAGGTCTACCTAGACCTCTGTGGATAAAACCATTAGTTGATGATTTTCTCTACCTGCAGGGGATAGTGGGGAGACTACACAGAGATGACAGGAGAGATTCAGCCCATTCCACTGGATACATGTTGTCAGATCCTGGCCTCACTCAGTATTCCCTTCCAAGCATCATTTTCAGTATCCCAAGTAATAGGGCTTCCTCTGCTTTGATGTGAGAGTGTCAGGACAGGAGTATAGACAGTCCCCTGTGAACCAGCGGCTCCGCGCCTTTTTTTACCCTCCATACGGTGCCCTGCCCACCTTTGACGTTATCTGCCTTCATGTGTTTTAAGGCCCTTCATACACCCTCTTATGAAGCCATGCAGTCCTTTACGATATCTCGGTCTCTTCTTCCTAATAAAGTTTTGAGTAGGCAGTAAAAACACAAACATCTGAAGGATACTTAGCGTTTGTGACTTTTGTGTGCTACTTAATTTCTAACGTTCGCATTTTTCAAGTGCTGATTCACAGAAAAACCTAGCATTGCCCCATATGGTTGTGTTTTTTTCCTAAATGGTTGACATCTAAACTCATTAGCCGTAGCATGGTAGTATCTCTTTGAGTGAATAAGTTCATGCTGTGGAAAGGATGTATCTTTTCAGGGACTTGTTAGTGTTTACCTTTTTTTCTATAAATATCCTTGTTGAAAGAAAAAGATAGTTTAGATTGATTGACACATTTCATCAAACTTTCATTAGGAGAATAGTTGGCCATCATACTGTCCTGTGGATCAAGAATACTACTGACAAGCCAAAAGCAATAAGATCTGTAAATACCTCCACACCACCTTCCTCCCCGGCCCCACCTTTTTTTTAAGTATACCTGTTTTGGTAATTTGGTGTTCCCAGATTCTACTGTGTGCCTTGCACATGGCGAGGACTTATCAAATGTTTATCAAATTAATAAATGATTCACTGAAAAAGGGAAAGATTGATCATGAGTAATGGATAAAATGAGTTATGATTGAGAAATTGATAAGTTAGAGCAATGGATTGTGAATGAATGATACATTCTAGCCTCATGATACTACAGGTGAGCTGTTACATATAGAATAAGTTAATTTAGATGATTCTTCTTCATTTAACGACCTTGTTTAAGCTGTTAAATCCCAGCCAAGAAATGCAGCTCTATGATTATGAATTAACTGTACTTTAATATATATTAAAAATTCATAGAACAAAGCTCGTTTGCATTAAGAACACCACTTTCTGTTCATTTATGGTATTGGAGGACAGATCTTGGCAACAGAGCCAGAGACTCTTTGGGGCATTTGAAGGAATTCTTTGATTTCAAAGACTTGTTGATTTGTATTTGTGCAAGGATAGTCATTTTATGCTTCTCCTTTTCTCCTCCCCAGCTTGAACTATAGACCTTTTAGGTATTTCTTAAACCTGTGTGAGTCATTTTCTTTTTCTCTTATTAGGTTTAAGGATTAGATACCTGTTAATGACCCCTTTTTCTTTTCCAGGTTTTAGCATTTTTGTTACGTCTTTGGAAACTCTGGGCCCAGACTCTCAGTCATATCCCTTATTCCTATGGTACGGTTCTGATTAAAGGCTTCATTATTAATAGGATTAAATGTACACATGTTGTCACTAAAAGCCATTTAAATCTTCAGATAAGGGCTTATGTGACACAAGATATGAAAACAAAAGTTCCTTGACTTTTACGTGGCAGTTTGTAGGAAAGCATTTATGGTGGTAGACTGTGTGATTTAGATGAATTCAGGTCGTCATGTGAATTTATGCTTGTTATATAAAGAGAACTTTTAATATTGTTGAGAACAAGTTACCATTAGTAATTTTCTGTAGCACAAGATAGTATTTGACATGGGCTAAATATTAATTTAGGAGTACAGCTGTCACTTACTATACAACAGTCTAATCCGTATCTTAGTCCCTCTTAATTACAGAAGATACTCAAGGTTTAGTTATAAAAGGAAATAACATATATTCTTTGCAGAAAGCTTTTGTAAGCTTACAGTTATTTTGTTACTAGTAAATCAAATTTTAGACCTTTCAGATATTTAAAATATGGTACGGAATTCGAACAGCGCCATTAAAAACTTTTGACTTCTGAGTGAACTTCTCCAGGAGAACGGTGCAGCCCCTGGCACTTTGCATGCTGCCGCCTCCCCATGCCTAGATGCACCCTTACTGTGCTCCTGTGTACTGGAGAAGTCTGGAGGCACAGCAAGGTGGAGACGTGCCCTGGCATGCAGGCAGCGAGCAGGAAAGAAAATCAGCCCTGAAAATCCTACTTGTCACACAGTGTCTTTGAAACAATAGCTATATATACCTTGTTAATTTGAGTGCCTTTCTTATTTCTGGAGGGAGCAAGATTAATGTTTAGGGAGAAAACAAAGGACAGAATTTTTATCAAACAGTTGATTGTAACTCATTTTATTTATTCCAGTTGCTAGACACGGTCCCGTGGAGTTTTTTTATCCATTCATGACATACTGATATGAGCAGGTAGGATGCTTTGGTTTGTATTTCTTAGTTAGCATTTTTAAGCGCCCTGCCAAGAAGAATTAGTTCTTTCCCTGTGACAACTAACTTTTTGGGGATTGGAGGTATTTAGAGGACAGCGTGTGCATAATTACAGGTTAGTCCGAAACGTGTGCGGCCCATGTTCAAGGGAAACAGTGGCACTGTGCCTGAAAAGAAAGGCTGTATGATTGTCATAAATGAATCCTTTGCCTCACTTTAAGGGTTTTAAGAATTCCCTCCCAAATTCTGTGTTGGAGGAAAAGAAGTAAATAGATGAAATTTAAAATATGGCATTTTATGTATTTGGTTACAGGAGAGGGGAGGGATAGAGAGTCCATATTTCAAGATTGCAGATAACTTTTAATTGTAATTTCATAAAAATATACAGCTAAAGATTCCAAAGTGCTTTTCAGAGGACTATTGAATAATATATTCCTAAATGGCAGCAATATGTCATAGTTCATAGTGGAGACAGAAAACCATTGTGTCAGTTGTAGAGGTGTGTGTGTGTGTGTGTGTGTGTGTGTGTGTGTGTGCGCGCGCGCGCGCTTGCATTGCAGGAGGCACCTCTGGCTCTCAACCTGGACATCTGTATTCTCGTTAGGTTATGTTAAGACTGTAAAACCAAACTCTGTGCTAAAAAAAAAAAAATAGGAGTAGCTTAGTCTGCTGATGAACCTTTGTGCTTCCAAGAATATTAGCTCTTATAGGTTGTGCTTTTTGGACAATAATATGGTCCACAAGGCTGACCCTGGCATTCTTTTATTAATCTGTTATTCCTCAGGGTGTAGAAGATTTAGTAAATTTAGGACAAAATTTTATATTCAGTGGCAAAAAAGAAAAGGCAAAAATATGCTAAATATATTACTAGCTCTTAAAACTTTAGTATAGATAGTATTTTTTATAAACCCCTACCAGTGCAGTAGCTCATAGACGCTCTGTGCCTGCCTCACTCTTCACCTCGCTGCTTCAGTCCCTACGGCTCTATTATGAATGTTCTCTTAACGTCTTCTGCGGAAACAGTTTCTGTAATGTATTGTTTTCCACGTTGGGCAGAGGTGGGGGTGTTTCAGTTGACATCATTTTGTTTCTGGAAATCCTGTTCAGGAAATGATTACCGTTCGTTTTCAAACTGACAACTGTTTTGCCTCCTAAAACCTCACTTTCCCTGAAAGAGTGTTCTGTGTGCAGACCCCGTATGTGTTCAGTACATTGCATGATGCCTCACGCCTTGTAGGAATCCAACGGGGCGCAATCGTTAAAGGCTAGAAAGTGAAAACTAGCCTCCCTCTGTCTCGGCACCATTGCCCACATGCGTGGCTTCAGGAGAAATCCAGTATTGTGCGGAAGGTACATAATTAGCTTCAAACCATGCAAGGCAAGATACACAGCTGCATCACATTGTAAGTGAAATTTTGATACTTTTAAGGCATATATATGTGTGTGTTCACATATATGTATGTATATATGTTTAAACGAGATTTGGAACTTGAATTTATATAGTGATTTTACAGAGAATTTTATTTAAAGGGTTTTTATTTTCATATTTGCTTAAAGTGCTCCTATTTAAAAGCAGTTTTCTTTATTAAACCAGCCCCCTCAAGCAAAGTTGGAAACCTAACACAAGTGCCATTTGCCTGAATTAACCAGATATTTGTGTAAAATGTTTATTTTTGTCTTTGGATGCTTATGCACCATGACATTCTGGCTTTTCTTCATACCTTTAGGGAATCAGCCTTAATTTTATGTATGGCCATCACTTTCCTCAAAGTACTATGCAGCTTACTTCAAATGTTTATTTATCTTTATAAAGTGATCAGTAATACATATTGAGATTTTTTTTCATGTCCTGGGGTGAACAGTTTCACACGTTCAGATAGTGACTCATAAAGCATTTTGTCAGAAGTGCTCAAATATTATCTTCCCTCACCAGTGTCATCTTGCATTTGAAGCAGGTACTTTTTCTTAGTGGTTAAAGAATGAGTGTAGACTGAGTGCAGTCATAGTAGGTGCTCAATAAATATTTAGTCAGTTATTGATCTCATGGCAAATTAACAGCTTTCGGAGAGGAAACTTGTTATCTTTTCACGGAGGAGCATATTTTTAAAGCAATATATGTTTGAAACTGAAAAAATTACATCATTTGGCATCAATTACTAGGCTTATTTAGGCTGGAGTTAGTAACATGCAATAAACGTACTGTTTGTGTAGAACACGGTCTGAAGATAGGAGATGGGGAAAGTTTAAGCAGCATCTTTTTGTGCAAGGCACATTAATAAATGTGATTAAATGTCTTAATAGGCTGCCAAACTCAAGAGAGAGAGAGAATTACTGTAGACGCCTACAGTCGGTTTCTCTGTTGGTGTACCTGGTGTTACCTGGCTTAGGTTCTATTTATTTCTTCTTAAAACTTGGTTGCTTTCCAGTGTCTTCAAAGTGGTAATGGTAAAATACAGAATTATATTAAATAACTTCTCCTTGTTTTCTCAGAACATCTTTAATATGAGGGAGAAATTTTTATGAAAGATACAGTAGTTTCAGAATCTGCTCATTTGTGACTTTCAGAGCATCTTTGACAGAGCTTACTCAGTGTAAACAGATTTAAACAGTTGAAAAACAAACATTCCAGCCTGAGCTGTGAGGAACAGAGTGTGTAATATAAGTGTAATTAGGCATCGCCTCCTGGCGAGGTTCTTGATGCATGACTGTGATGCTGGCCTCTGACTGACTGTGGTGACCGCTCAGTATTATATTTTGGTGGTGTTCCTGGGAGAATAATGAAATGTGTGCTAGATTAATTTGTATTTGAGATGGACACAATAAAAGATGATGTGGTATCAATATGCCAGGGATTTATACACACTATTACTGAAATTTTTTTAAAAAAGAAGAGGGGAAGAAAATGACAAAAGGTCAGTGATATTTTTTAATAGCCTCTAAGAAAGTTTTTTTTTTTTTTTTTTTTTAAGTCCAAGTCTCTTAGACACTAAGCAGTTGCTAACCTTATTTAACACTGTGGGACTTTAAGGGATAGTTCTCAGATACTGTCTGCTGTTAGAATTGACGATGTGTGTGAATTTTACATTGCTTGCAGATTTTCCAAAAAATGGAGTATTTAAGTTGCAGTTTAATGGTTTTTAAAGATTTTCTTGTAGGTCGTGGTTCAGTGGACAAGTTACATATATGATCTGTGGTGCAAGGTCAGATCCTGGGCATTAAAGATAAGTTTGGCTACCTTAATTTTACTGAAGATACTAATTGTTTCCCTCTGATTGCACTGTTATTTTTTTTTTTAACTATTTTCCTCTGTGTTCCAGTCTGCATTGAAGTTCCTTTAGCTCTCACAATACATAGTAATTGACATTTCTCAAGGATTAAATATTTTGTGAATTCTTTTTACACTTAAAATGTGTATCTTGCAGAGGGATAAAAATTAATTTTGCAGTAAAGTATGTGCAGAGTGTGCTTACAGTGTCCTGGGAGTTCGTACTCCAGATTACTTAAAGTAGGATGGCTAAATTCTAAGGCTAATAAGTGACTGTAGACTATCTGTATGAGCACTGTCCAGTAGGAAGAAATGGGAGCCACATATGTAATTTTTAATTTTCTAGCAGGCACATTAAAAAAGAAACCCATGACATTAACTTAACTATTTTAATTAACCCAATATATTAAAAATATTTCACTATGTAATCAGTATACAAAATTATGGAGATAGTTTGCTTCCCCCCCCCACCCCCCATAGTAAGTTTCTAAAATTCATTGTGTATTTTGCACTCACAGTGCCTGTCAGTTCTGACTGGATACTTTGTAAGTGCTCAAATAGCCATGTGTGGCTAAGGGCTGCTATATCGGACCGTGCAGGTTCATAGGGTACAAAATTTGACTTTATTTTAAATTGGGGAGATGGTGAGGTAGGCATGAAATTATGGTACTTTAAAAATTAGTATACTTAGAAAAGTATCTAATACAATTATCCACATTGTCTACATTTTAAATTTGCTGTAGAAGTAGCTCAATCTGTTCCAATTTGCCAAGCATTATCTAAGGAGGAAGAAATTCCATGCCATGTAAAATACCATGATATGCTCATTATAACAACACATTATTAACACATTTTTCAATGTGTTCACTAAATTCAGTCCTGTCTCTTCAAAATAATAGCTTAAATTGCATGTTAATTGTGTATCTGTACTTGTTTTGTTTTTATATTATTCTTATAATAATGTGTATTAACAAACAGCCCTAGGATTCTAATCTTCCTATGCATCTGTCTTCCAGTACTTACTGGTACACTTATTAAGTTGTTACAAGTGGCAGAAAAGTAGAATGAACCATCGTTTTTTTTTTTTTCATTGTTTTTATCATGTGATCATGTACCAAGCCAGCTATAAATTATTGTATTTCTGTAGAATATGAAAAATAGTGTTTATGTCTTAACTTTGCTAAATGTTTGCAATTTCTAAGTAAACTTTTCATCTCCTAAGATGAGTGAAAGTGTGCGTTTATTTTTGCTTGTTTTGGTGGTGGTGTTTTATATTTTTTAATTTTTAATGTTTATTTTTGAGAGAGAGACAATGCGAGCAGGGGAGAGGCAGAGAGAGAGGGAGACACAGAATCTGAAGCAGGCTCCAGGCTCTGAGCTGTCAGCACAGAGCCCGATGAGGGGCTCTAACTCACAAACCATAAGGTCATGACCTGAGCCAATGTCAGAAGCCTAACCGACCGAGCCACTCAGGGGCCCCAGCTCGTTTTGGTGTTTTAAACTCCACTCCATTCTGCCAAGCAGTCCTGTTTAATTGCTGTGCTGGTGGTAATGGGATGGATGTGTGAGCTGTTGTCTAAGTGAAACCAACTGATTTGATTACTTACGCTTGTAGAAGGAATTAAAAATGTCATTTGTGTCTAGGACATTAAAAAAATATCGAAAACAAATTAGAGAAACTGTCACACTTGTCTTTAGAGTGCATTAACAATGACTAATTGACTTATGAAAGTCATTATAACTAGATATGCTTTTTCTCATACATTTTAAATGAAGGCATAGAGCAGAGAATTACTTGATTATTTCAGGGTTCTATCCCATGTTTTCTTAACCTGGAACCTTACTTCCATATATTTTAAGCTGGACACAGCATTTACAGTTATTTAAATGGCTTTAATACCTAAGTATACTCTGAAAAGTATTGATGACGTGGATACTTTTTTTACTCAGATTTTAAATACTCAAAAAGTTGTTTTGTGGGAAAAGCCTTTGCTGCCTTGTCCCATGACTCTTTAGGATTACATTTTAAATAACGCACTATTACCTATGCCTATTTTTGGTAGGAAACAAGGTACAGAATTTATTTGCATCATGCCAAAGTACCACAAACAATGTTTTCGCTTTGATATGCTAAGGAAGGGAACTAGCTTGCTAAAGACAGCGTTGGTTTGAGTTAGTAGGCAGATTATATAAGAAGTGTGACAACAATTTATATTAGCAAAGTGCGTCCCTGGGAAATTGCTTTACCTAATAGGATGCTTCTTGAAATGAAAGATTAACAGTAAAAACAGAGGCAGGATGATACAGTAGCTAATTAAAATTTTTAAATGTGATAAGCCGTTCATCATTTGTATATATTTAGCACTTTCCTCATGTTGCAACCTCAAATTTTTGCTTTTGGTGTTTTTTGGTTTTGTTTTGTTTGTTTTAGGAGAAGAAGCAGTGATTTGTTTTTTTGTTGTTACTGCTTTTTTAAAAAGTGGCAGGGTTCCTATCTTTCCCATTCTACTCCAAAATGGCTAGATTGGGCATGAGCTTTATTTAAGATAGCAAGTTACAGTATGCCCTTTTCTTATGAGAAGTACAGTGTTATTATATATGCCCTATGCTACAGAATTTGAAAACAGAAGCAATAATTACTGTACTAACTTTTCTTTCACAGAAAGATTCTTAGAGTAACCCTGGCTACCAGGAAGAACTCCCTTACCACTCCTTATAATTATCTGAAGAACAGACATAATACTTCTGAATTTATACTTTTACTATCGGAATCCTCCGAAGATACACAAATCTCTTGTATCAGATTCCTTATTTGCTTCTCACGGTAATTACAGTATGATTAACGAAAGGTCCACTCTCTGTGTAGGGGAGCTAACTGTGGGCTGAAATTGGGCCTCCATCATATTATTTTTGTGTTCTCATATTTCTTAAATCGCTAGTGGTCTCTGTAGACATGTTGAGAGAATACTGGAAGGTTGGTGAGTAATTGGTATTGGTGCAGCATCAGTCACCCCTCTGTTTTCAAGGAAATTTTGTAGACACTTACAGTCTAAGGTCCCCTAGAGCAAAAATCACCAGTTTTTTCTTGTTTGTAACTAAGTTGCGACATACCTAATTTGTAACATTGATCTCATGAGTCTTAATATTAGTTATTCCATGTGAAGAAATTTTTAAGTTTAAAGCATTTTGTGTGGCATTTGTTAGAGTAAAAATCAGAAACAACTTGAATACACAGTAGGAGATTCAGTAAATTGGTATTTTCCTACAGTGGTGCTATATGCACTCACAAAAATAGAATCTAAAATTACATGAAAAAATGTCATAATAAATTAATTTTTAAAAGGATGTTATAGAGAAAAAACAGGAAATTATAGAGAAGTTTAAGATTCTGATTTTATTTTAAACATTGAAGTTAATTACCATTTCCAACAATGGCAGGACAAACACTCCTACTGAACACAAATTAAAATGTTGGAAAAAATACTAAAAATTTTTTTCAAAGCAGGATAAAGAAATCTACATCATACTGAAACTGCAGAACACCAATAGAAAGATAATATCTTACAAGTAATTGAAGACAAAGACATTAAGTCAATAGCTAACTTCTTGTTAGAGTCAGAAGGTATGGGAATGATAAATTTCATGTGCTGGAATTATGTAACTGCCATTATAGAATTCTGCATACAGAAAATGTTCTTTGAGGAATGAAGGTAAAAGAAACATATATACTGAAATCATATGCACATATATGATTTTCATTCATGTAAAATTTTAAAAATAGTCAAGTCTACAAAGAAAGCAAGAAAGTTATGATTATAAAGGTCATGATTATTATAAAGCTCAACCAGTTGCATCTGGTTGGGAAAGAACAGAACCGTGATCAAGGATGGGATCAAGGTCGGGAACTTCTGGACTTCCGGCAGGATTCTGTGTCTTGAATTGGGCCATGTGGACATGTCTTATATATTTTATGTACTTTTCTCCGTGTTCTATTCACAATAAAAGAAAAATACCTTTTAGAGGACAAAGTTGTTTTTAAATAAAGTACCCTATTTGTGGAATACATAGTCTATGAAATATTCCTACCAAATTGACCTGTAAATTCAACAATCTATCAACTTTTCAACTAGTTTTTTCAGTGAAATTGATAAACCACTTGAAAATTTATATGAAAATGAATAGGATTTAAAGTAACCAAAACAATCTTGAAAAGCTGGCTTACTCTCAAGCTATAGTAATCAAGACTATGGTTTTGGCATAAGACTAGACAAATCTTTGGAACAAAATAGGGCCTGGAAACAGACTTACACACGTAGAGTCCATTAATTTTTGACTGAGGCCATCAGGGTCATTTCAATGGGGAAATCTAATAAATAGTGCTGGAATAATAAAATAATCATATGAAAAAAATAAGCCTCAACCCTTAGCTCAAAAAATATACAAAAATTAATTAAAAATGATCACAGAACAGAACATAAAACTAAGAACACATAAAACCACTAGAAAACAGGAGAATATTTTTGCATCCTTGAGGTAGACTGACTGTATTGGACAGGACACAAAAAAAGTCCTAATAATAAGGACATGATCAGTAGAAATTTTAAATTTAGAAGGCCATGCAAATTTATAGGAATGTGTGTGTGCTCAGGAAAGACCTGAGAAGGCCATAGCTTTCACCTCTCACTCCACAAGCAGGAAGTGAAGGCTAAGACAGTTATAAACTGCCTGTCGCAACATGCACTCAGGACCCTTCAGCAAGAACTAGAGATTTGATTCAAGGGACTCTGTCCAATCATCAGCTGACCACTGGGTGACCGAGTAGAGACTTCAGTGGCTACACGCTATAAAGAATATGGGCTTTACAAAAGTAGTTCAGAAAAGTCACTAAACAACAACAATTAGTGACAATAAACCATGAGGATGAAGGAGAATCTGATACCCAGATCTGGCACATTATATTATTCAAAGTGTCTGATTTGTAACAATAATATAACACATAGAAAGAAACTATGGCTGATACCCAAGGGAAAAAAGCAATCAATAGAAATTGCCCTTGAGGAAAAAAAAGACATTAGACTTAAATCTTTAAACAAGCTATTTTAAATATGTTCAAAGAACTAAAATAACCATGTTTAAAGAACTAAAGCAAAATGAGAACCATGCCTCACCAAATAGTGATGGGTATTTTAAAGGGAATGAAATTGCTCAAACTCAGCCAAATAGACCCTAGCTGACATACCTCTGGGAAGACACATACATAAGTGGAATGAAACAGAGATTCTGCAAAGTTGAATAGTTAATTGTAGTTGTTGTACCAAAAAAACCACAGGGGTCACCAACAGATTCGAATAAGATGAAAGGATGAGTGAAAACATGTCAACTGACAACATATTCAGTCTGAGAAACAAAAAGAAAAAGAATAAAAGTACATAGAGCCTAAGGGACCTGTGGGGCACCATCAAAGTGACCAGTGTATGTATTGTAGATGTCCTCAAAGGGAAAAAAGTAAGGAGAAGAAAATATTTGAAGGGCACAAATCTACAAATCCAAAAATGTCAATGAACTGTAGGCGGAACATATTCAAAAAGACCCACATTGAAGATACATTATAACCAAACTGTCAAAAGCCCGTGGACAAACAGAAAATCTTGAAAGCAGCATGTGAGGAGACTTATCATGTATAGAGGGTCCTCAGTAAGATCAACATGTGATTTCTCATCAGAAACCATGGAAGCTTCTAGAGGGCACTAGCGGATGTCTTCAAAGGGCTCAGGAGAAAAACTCAACCAAGAATCTTATATCTGGTAAAATGAACCTTCAAAAATAAAAGAAATTAAGACAGTCCCAGATAAAAACAGAGTTTATCACTAGCAGAACTGCCGTAGGAAGAAATGTGCAAGCGAGGCCTCCAGGCTGAAATGAAAAGACACTACAACTTTCCACATGAAAAAATTAAAAGTGCCAGTGAAAGTAACTACATAGTATGTATGTACATAGTCTGTAACTACATACATACCCTTTGTAACTCTTTTCCCCTCTAACTTAAAAGGTAACTGTATTGCAATAATTATAAATTTATTTTCTTGGATCTACAATGTATTAAGAAATAGGCCATGAAGAAATAGAAAAAGGGTGGAGAACAGAGCTATACAGCTTACCAGTTTTTGTATACTACTGAAACTAAGTTGGCGTGAGTACAACCTAGACTGATCTAAATTAAG